AGATTGTTTTGTCTTTATATTCAAAAGAAATCAAATTAAATGCCATGCATTTCTTATTTTTCAGTAAATAAAGTATGAAAGGATAGAGGGTATTGCCACCGAAGAGACAGTGGTTATCGGAGCAGACCTGAATGGACATGTTAGTTAAGTAAACAGAGGAGACCGATGACCCCCCATCCCACCAATAAATCTGATTAAATAACCTGCTCTGTCACTAGAAATAAGTTCCCCACCTCTCCCCATACTCTTTGCCCTGTTCCTTTGTGCTGTAGACACTGTTATCTCTGCCCCACATTATGGCTTTCCCCGTGGCCACTAGTCTGCATACACATCTCCCCCCCACATATGAGTTATATGGATTTTTCTGAAAATAAAAGGTTTTGAGGGTCATGATACAGATAAACCCCCAAAGGGTTTGACATGTAGGAATGACTCTTAACTACAGTCACACCAAATTTAGTGTAATATCTGTAAAATGAGTTGTAGTCATTTTAGTGTTTTAAGGTCTGCTGCATTTTGAATCTGGTTTATTTCAACACTTGCACTTCAAATGAGTACATTCATAACATTACATTACATTAAAATTGGTCTAATGTTTTATTAAATAAGAAAAAAGCTTGTCACACATMCAACAACGTTTTAAAATCAATTTAGGGCAAATGTTTACTACTAGATGCCTTACCATGATGGTTTGTCCAATCTCAGCTTTGATGACAGGCCCTAATATGCCAAGATGCTCATCCATCTCTCCCCGAATGTCAGGAGTTGTGAAGCTACTATCCAGGTAACCTCGGAAAACCACCTTGGTGAATGTAGTTTCTTGATTAGTAAACTGTGACTTTTCTTGCCTCCTGTGCAAATAAGACCATCCTTCAGTAATTGTTACTGTATCTATAAAAAGATTGTATTAATTCAAAATTGTTACAGTGTTTGATATTCAGTTACATAAGCTCTATGCTTTTACTTCTGAGCTTACCTGTGCCCGTAGCCAGCATAGTCCCATTCAACCTCCTCTGCAGCAATAAAATATGTCTTGACATTTGGGCCTGATAACTTCCGATAATGCTTGTTAGTTTCATCCAGATTGAGATTCTTGACATCTTCGTGACTACTATATGGGTCTTTGTACATCACATACTCRTATTCATTTAGGGCCACATCTGGTTGATTCATGTCAAGATGGTCTTTTCTATCTCCAGAATACAGATCATACTCACTGAAGTCGGGTCGTGGCACACCAATGACCACCGGCATGTTAATCAACTCCTCCTCATCAGAGACAGGCTGTGGTGCAGAAGGCCTTGCCCCACGGGGGGTCATCCCTGGATTGAATCCCCGAGGGGAAAAGGGTAAACCACTCCTGGCCTGAGGCTGGTATTCCTTCCTCCTCCTTGTTTTCAAACCTTGGCCTTTTTGGGGTCTTTGTCGGAGAGTGATTTTCTTTGATTTTTTAGGAGGTGGAGTTGTTTGAGGCACCACAGTCTCAAAGTATTTCTTCATGTCGTCAGGAATCTGCTGAGGTACTATGGAATGTGTTCCATCATAAGCCCAGTTGTGTCCTTGTGTTCTAACGGAGGATGTTTTAATAGCCTCTGTTCTGTTTTCTTTGCGGTAGATATACAGTTCTTCACTGCCCAACTCATCAGAACTGATTGGTTTTAAAGTACTTACAGGGAGGGATATGTTAGATAAACCTACGATCTCACTGGAGTTACTTTCCACAGAAGATATGTTGGTCATGTCATCAAGAATTGCTGTGATGACCGTTCTCTCCTCTGTATTTCTTCCTAATGAGTCTGATCTGGTTACATTATCYGTGACATTTTTTAACGATTCATTTTGAGGCAAAATTTGTGTTGCATTTTCAAGGCTGGAATTGACAGGAACAATCAGAACTTCAGAATCATGACTTTTCTCGGTGGCCCGTCCTGGTAAATCTGATCTGGATACATTCACCGTGTCATTTTTCAACAACTCATTTAAGAGCAAAATACRTGTTGCATTTTCAAGGCTTGAATTGGCAGTAACAGTTACAAACTTATCAGAATTTACTTCTGTTTCATTTTCTTGCTGTGCGGTTGCATTCAATTTATTACTCTCATTGCTGGTTATGTTTGCAACCTCCAACTCAAAAATGGTCATATTATTTCTGACTATACTGCTGGTGTTAACCTTTTTGGCATCAAGTGCTGACATGTTGAAATGCTTTGTTGTAGTTTCATTATCATCCTCCCGTGTTGCATTCTGTAAAATTGTTATTTCAGATACATTGCTCCTTGGGATATTGTTTAGGGTAGAATTGATGGACTTGGACAAAGGCACACTGTAAATGAAGTTGTCCCCTCTTTCATGTTCTTCCTCAGAGTCCTCAAGATTTATATCTATAGATGCATAGCTATCACCAGACAAGCTTGCATTCATTGTTTCATTTTTWGAGATAAAGGTTGAATTTTCTAGTACTGTTACAGGGAGATCAGTAATCTGTGGTGTGGTTAAATTCAAAGTCTCTTGTATCTCTGTAGTTTTAATGGTTATCTGTTGTATTGTTATGGTATGATTTGTAGAKTCCTGTAGAGCAGCAGTTAAACCATCTGAGATCACATTTCCAAAAACAGTAGCATTCCAAACTGTTGTATTCATGGAGTCAAAAACAGTAACATTGTCAAAATTTGGCACCGTTGTAGARTAAGTCTTATTTGTAGATGATGTGATGTTATTCTGTAGCAATACATTTGTGTTCTCTGTTTGATGYACTGAAGAATTATCAAAAATGTTTTTGGTACTGTTTTTCTGTGTATGTTCTGCATTCCCACTGAAGCTGTTGTCTAGAACAAATGATTCTGTGAGGTTTACGTCATCCATCTTTTTCCAGTTTGAAAAATATGTGTTATTCATTGCATCCAGCTTTGAATCCATGCCAGTTTTATTTTTTGTCTCCTTAAAATTGAGACTGATGTTCATATTTCCAARAGGCACATCAATGGCATCATAATCAAAAAGAGACAAGTCCAGTTCCTCTGCATCTGAGCCACCTAACTGTTTTTTCAGTGACCTGAGACCTAGTTCTTCTGCATAATTGTCTGTGTCATAATCTGGTTCGTTTGTTTTTGTYGTTACAAGGTTTGGTTTGTCTTCCTTGTCGTTTGTAACATTATTTAGTTTCCATATATTGAATGTGCTTTTTGGAACATCATATTCATACTCATATTGGTAGTCACGATAGCACTCAACATCTTGGAACTTCACACGCATTCCTTTTGTTGTTTGATGGGAATTTAGAGAAGCCAAAAGCCAGACACCTGTTRCAAGATATCCATTGAAATGTTTCATGAAGGACCAGGAAACACAAAGGCTGGATAAAAATATCTGACAAAAATGGGCACAGTCATGCGTGACTCACCAATGTTGTCCATGCTCATAGTGATGGTCTCCCCAGTCATAGGATAGAGGCTAAGGAAGTCTTCTGTTCTCTCATTTAGTTCAAAAGGATGGCCATAGAAGGTAGCTGTTTGAATGTAGTCCTGTGCTCCAATGCTGGACACATGCCATGTTGCAACCTCACCATTGCAGAAGCCTAAGAGTGGCCCACTCTCAAAGGCATAACCATTTATTGCTTTAATAAAAAATACAATGCAAATTAGGTTTTTGACAAGCAGGTGCAAGGTAGTACTCCACTGAGCTGTGACTGTTTAGAAAGAGTTGGTGACTCAAAATTGCTTGAAAGTTGTGCAAACATACAACAAGTGGATTTTTCCATTGAAGTCTTACTGATTTAACTAACTCAACTAACTGCACAACATATCATCTCACTGTACATCAACATGTTAAATCCATTGATCTTTATTACTGGATTGGACATCACGTGACGGTAGAGTTTCAATGTGGAATGAGCGTCGATCTGTCACAAAAATATTCATAGCACCCTCATTTTTTATCCGATTTCTTTAAAATATGGCTTAAATTAAAGCTGAGAAAATTGCCGATGTTGTGATATGTAAAAATATGTATTTGCTCAAGAGATAAATCTATAAGCAGTCTGGGAACTTTTCATTGTAGGTTTTTGCTAACGTATTTACAGTAGAAGCCCCTTTCGTCACATAAAACTTAGTCATGTGTGTCATATAT